CTGCACTGAGGTCCAACAGAACCAGCACTGTGGTTCTTACACAGTCCGTATTTATATGGATGTCATTGAACACTTTGACTAGGCCAGTCTCTGTGCTGTGGTGAGATCAGAAACCAGACTGGAAGGAGTCAAAGCGGTTGGTCATCGTTAGGAAGCTATTTAACTGAATAAACAGCTTTTTTAATAACTTTGCTGATGAATGGGAGGTCAGAGGTCAGCCTGTAATTCTGCAGTAGTGATTTGTCCAGATTGTTCTTTTTTATCAGTGGTTTGATAACTGCTGTTTTCAAAGCCATTACTTTTTTCATCTTATCTTGTGCTAGTCACTCTGGGTTAGAACAGATACATTTATACTTCAAATATATCAACACCAACTGTAGACTTCAAAAATCATCCACTTTTAGAACAAATATCTACCAAATCTTGACACTTGTTGTCCATCTAAAAAATAAAGTTGACTATTTGTTTTCAGAGTGTCCTGTGTATATAGTCTGGGGAAGTGAATGAAGTTTTCCAAAATCAGCTGCAAAACTGTTGTCTGCTTACTGACTATTCTCTTAGGCTGATATGTGGTTCTGGTGACATATCTGAAAACCAAAGATGTAATTGTTTTGCTCCAGATTTAAAATAATTTGTTTGACCTGACGAACGAAGAAGAGTATATTTCTTACAAGTGTAATAAATGTAAACTTGTTGCTGTTTTTTGTTATTATAGTTTTTCTTCCCTCTTTGATTGTTTTTAATCCAATAGCACATCGCTGTGTGCCAGCCTCCGCCTCCATCTCTTCCTGTGACTCCTCCTCTGTCCATCAGAGCTGATGCAACAAAAGGAAGTCCTGACATCTGCTCCAGGAAGTTTCCTCCCTTTTAAATATCTTCACTTTGTTCACGTCTCTAAAGGTGAGTAGCCTACATTTACTCTGTTACTTTAGTAACTTTTTGATAAATATTTACTTCTTAGAGCAGTTTTACTGTACCATGCTTTTAAGTTTTACTTAAACATTAAGTAAAAATTACTAGATAATTAAATATAATTGTTAATCGTATGAGGCTCTTACCTGAACTTTTTTTTTGCCTTCTACCCACTGGAATGGCTTTTACAAGTTTATTGTAAATCTGTTTTAGGTCATTCTGAGATGCACTAAAAAAGCTGATAATATGTGATAAGTCATATATTATCTCAACTTAAATGACGTGTCCTATATTAATATTAGTTTTTATTGTGATAATGAATAAATTGAGAACTTTTTAGTTTATAATCCATTTCTAATCTGCGCCTCATCTCCATGTTACTGAAGAGCAGCTACTATGTCAGTGAGACGTTCTGCTGGTAATTAAAGTTCATCCTGAACACTGGAAAGTGTTAATTTTTAGAAAACAAACTGAACTCTGGTCACTTTCTGGAATAAGAGGAAATTATGAGGCTCAAATCATAATGATGCATTTCTTTCATCCTCAGTTACTGAAGTGAACAGTGTCATGTTTACTACTGGGCTGTTTCTCTTCGTTTTCAGATCTTATAAGATCTATGACACTATAACCTTTTTCAACAAATAAATCATGTTATTGCTGCAATATCAAACTGAATATATGTATAGTTCTGTATAATTTGAAAAGAAAAAGACGTTTGTGTCGGTTCTGAAGGTTTCACTTTCAGTTGTTTTTTTTCTGACTGGCTTGAAACAGGTTTTAGAAACAGGTCAGACAAGTCAGTGGTCCATATCAAAGAGTCACTTTGAATGCCTAGACTCTAGTGACTACAGTCTAGTGTTTCTCAACCCTGGTCCTCACCGCCCCCCTGTCCTGCATGTTTTAGGTGTTTCCCTTCTGCCGCACACCTGAATTGTATCTCTGGGTGATTAACAGGCTTCTGCAGTACTTGATGGTCATGCAATCATTTGAATCAGCTGTTCTGGAATAGAGGCTCATCTAAAACATGCAGAGCAGGAGGGCAGTGAGGACCAGGGTTGAGAAACACTTTGCTAGACTTCTTTGTTGTCTGTCATGTTGACTGACAGCATAAGAAAAAAACTTCCCGTGGTGGAAATGGTCATTCTTTTGTAGGTCTGTCAGCTAATAAGTTGACATAATGGATGATTGTAGGTACAGATTGAAAGTGTAATCTGAAAAACACTACCTCAACCATTCTGAGTTACATTTGGCAGAACAAATAGACAAGTAGACATAATAAAACTGAATATATAAAAATATTGATCCACTGCTTTTGTTTGTTTTGTTTTTTTTTGCTTTTTATCTGTAAAATATCCATCAACTAAAAGCCTGGTACTATATCATTTTTAAATATTTAATAATAAGTCTCAGTGCCTAGTGAAAGGCAGTCTGATGTTAAAACTGAGATGAACTTTTCAGAGACTAATCAAAAAGATGAAGACAACAAAAGTGTCTTATCTATGATGACAGTAAAGAGCAGAACCCTTACTTTACGCATGAGAAACTGCTGGAAGTGTGAGGCTCATTTTAACAAAACTAAACTGCACATCCTGTCGACACATTAAAAATAAAATTGTCTTTTCTATGAAAAAAAAAACTCAAGCAAAGGGAAAGAAACTGAACAGGTAAGTTATTCCATTAATCATTTTTCTTCCTGGACTCCCTGACAGTTTCTACACAACACCAGGGTGATTCTTCTAGTGGTGGGATTCCCTTCAACCTGACCAATAAAAAGCATATAGTTTTTATTTATATCCCATAGCCAACGGTCAGTCCTTGGCAATGGGATGGGTTCTAGAATTGAGATGAAAACCCTGAATGCTCCTCAAGACGACGACAGCTGCAGCTCCAACAGCAACGACTCTGACTCTACCCAGAGGATTCCTCTCAATGAGTGAGGCTCGTTTTTAACGTCTTCACAAAAAAGCAAAAGTTTGTCAACTCATTTAACACGTCTCTTTCTTCTATTAAAGGGAATACCCTGATGCAGATCCAGAGAGTCAAAGTTTCCTCTCTGATCATAACCCAAGCAAGAAGCATGAAGTAAGTTCAGGTTTATTTCCACAATGTAGTTTTTTTTTTTTTCTGCTATTTCTTTTTTTATTCTGTTTTCTCCTCTTCAGCATCAGGAGCACATGCCGAAGGAGCACCATGCCTCCTTCGGCATGTCCGTCTTCAACCTGGGCAATGCCATCATGGGTAGCGGCATCCTGGGTCTGTCCTTTGCCATGGCCAACACCGGCATCGCCCTGTTTGTGTAAGCATTTTTCCATCATTATCCTATTTCGGCTGAGCAGCGTTCAGACAAGTGTTTTAAGGTCTCAGGCTATGACATTCCTAAGATCAGCAAGAAATGTTTAACTATTCTGTTCATGTTGACTTGCAAACAAAGAAGAAAAATCTCACCTCTGAAGTAATGTGATGTTACCGGCAACCTGAACCTGGTTATCTAAGCTTCTGTAAAAGACCATCTGGAAAAAATGTGTTTTTCGCTAGAAGAAAGTTATTGGAGGTTGTTTTGCAAATACGCCCCCTGGTGGCTGTTCACCACCAGGGGGCGGTTTTGGGAAAATGTTTTGAGAGTTACTAAAAAGGTTTCTGTCAGCAAAAGACTGGATTTAAAAAAAAAAATCTGAATTTCTATTAGTCATTACTGTGCTTATTGCACAACTTGTATCATTTGGCACCAAAAGACCCATCAAGCATATAGTTTTTATTTATTTATTGCCAATAATCACAAGTCATCTTTAGCTGAAGACCTTTTCTCTTCCTTGTGTTTACAGGTTTCTCCTGGTTTCCTTTGCTATTTTCTCCTTGTATTCTGTCCACTTGTTGCTGAAGACAGCCGATGAAGCAGGTGAGCAGCAGCTCTGACTTTCCAGCAACTTTTCATGTTTGTTCACATTTAAATGTCAAGATTTAAAACTCTTTGGGTTTTTTCCTCTTTTTCCAGGTGCTCTTGTTTACGAGTCACTGGGTTACAAGGCCTTTGGGATCCCAGGCAAACTGGCTGCTTCCTGCTCCATCACCATGCAGAACATTGGAGGTGAGGGACTGACCTTTAAGTATAACAGCTATGCATTGTAACTATGATGCTTACATTCATCTACCATGTTTTTAAACTGAAACATTGCTTCTCTGTGTCCAAATTGGGAGTACAAGCAGAATTAGATAGTTTTTGCGTTGTTGTTGTTGTTATTATTATTATTTCTTAGTGTTCTGTGACTTTTTGTTTCCCTCAAAATATCACAAATGACTCTTTTTTTCTAAATGTGTAAATTTATGCTAGGGATGTTGCTAACATCCCTAACGTCTGTGTGTTTTTTTTATCATTATTTTATTTTGTTTTCTTCTTTTTTATCTTTTTTTCAGCCATGTCAAGCTACCTCTACATTATCAAATATGAACTCCCCATTGTCATTCAGTCCTTTACTGGAGCAAATGATGGGTAAGTAGTTAAATATTTGGTCATTTTAACAACTAAACAAAGAAACAGCAGAAATGGTTCTTATTAATTGTACGCCTGCTGTTCACCATTTGCCACTTAATACCTTTATAAGTTTTCTTATTTTAGAGTTAAAATTTCTAGTACAAAATCAAATTAGTCTAGAATGTGACATTCTATAATTGTGCTTCTCAACGTGGCAGCATGTTGGAATTACTCTGTTAATTATATTCTGATTTTATTATGGACATTTTAAATCTGATCTTGTTTTCATCTTAAAAACTTTAATTGCTTTATTTCTGGCAGAAAATTTGTTATTTTTGACCAAACTTGAATCCAACTAAAGCACAAAAGTTGAAAAGAAAATGTTGTGGATGCAGAGCAGGAGCAAAGAGGAGAGAGAAGAACAATCGAACTCCTCCATCAATGATAATGAGCAATGCGAGTCCAATTTCATCCAATTGTCTAAAACACTGAATGAACTTGGACTCACCCAGAGTATTGGGAATGCAGTTCTATGGAAGCATTCAACTGTAGCGTTTATCTTCCAGGCTTTCTGACTCTACCAGCAGACACAGCTTTATAAAGGAACTGGATTAACTTGTCTTGTCAATAAAAGATGGCGTCATCCAGGACGTTACTGTGACGTGTCATCTAAGCAGAATAGATATTTCTGTTTGGTTACCACTTACATGACCAATCAAGTGGTATCTGCTTGGTCATGTAACAGTTAAAGTGATTCAGTACAGGACTATGGGGCTACATTGGTCATCTGTTTCAGTTATAATATTGGTAAATTCTGCCATAACAGCAATATATCAGATATCAACATCATCTCAAGTTTTCATATTAGTGGGTTCCTAATAATTAGTCTTCTGTAGCTTAGAAATACCTGGACAAAAAATACACAAAAAAGTGAAATTATAATTGATGTAATAATAATTAAAAAAGCAACAGTCTCACAAGGAAAATAATAAAAACAAAACAGTGCAGCTTGGAGAGAATGTCAAATGACTAATGAATAAGGACGGCTGTCTGATTCCATGCATAGCACCAGTCAATGTAGATAGATTATGCCTATTGGTCTCCTGGAAAACGATCAAAATCCAGATGTTTTTTCAGTCATAGAAAGCCTCCCTGATTCTCTGGACAGAACATGAAAAGTGGACATGTCCAGGGTGACAAAGACATTTGATCACTATTGGTATTCATTTTTATTCACAAACTGATCAGGACCTATTCCTAAGCATTCCTAGTGTTGGAGACGTCACTGCCAAACCCCCAGAAAATAAGGCTGTTGTTAATTGCCTTCCTGTTTTATGCTTGTTAATGATTTTTTCCTATGATATTGTATTTCTGTGTTAGTTTAAGTCTGCCACATATTAAAGATCGTCTGGTTCCAGAAGAATTTAATTCATTGACTAACTTTTCTGCCAATCTCTTCTCCACCTCCTGCTTCTTCTTTTCTTCTTCATTGGTTTCCTCATTCAAATCCCTTTTGCAGTCACACAGGGCCCAAAGCAACATTTCCTTTAATAGCTTGAGGTTAGCCTGAGCACACTGTTGAGTTTTACAACCTTTTGTGAAAAATTGGTGGTCAGCTCTGAATCTGGAGAGTGACCCGACCTCCTCTGAAGCTGAAAAGTCAAGACAAGTGCAAAAATTCGGTAACACTTTATTTGAAGGGGTTTGCATAAGACTGACATGACACTGTCACAAACATGACATAACACCTGTCATGAACTTAAAGAAGTCTTTATGACACTTTATGACAGTTGTCATGAAGTGTCATTCGGTAAATAATGACACTTTTAATGCAAAGTTGCTCTAAAAGTTGCATTAAAAGTCCATTAAAAATGCCAACTTTGCATGATTTTGTAAATTATGATAATTTAATGCAAAGTTGCCACTTTTAATGGACTTTTAATGCAACTTTTAGAGCAACTTTGCATTAAAAGTGTCATTATTTACTGAATGACACTTCATGACAACTGTTATAAACATTCATAAAGACTTTTTTATGTTCATGACACATGTTATCTTATGTATATGACAGTGTCATGTCAGTCTTATGCAAACCCCTTCAAAATAAAGTTACCAAAACTTTTCATTTTGACTGTTCAAACTAATAAATTATGTTTTTTTCAACAGATTGTGTAACAAATATTATTCTATCAATTTAAAGATGTATTTGTATGTGTTTCAGTGAATGGTACATCAATGGAGATTACCTCGTGATTCTGGTCTCGATTATTGTCATCCTACCTCTCTCATTACTCAGGAACTTAGGTAAGGATGTATTTCCTAAGTAACAATAAAAGTTGAAGCACCAGCTTTCGGACAAAAATCATTTTTTATCTTTCCTCACTAGGTTACCTTAGTTACACCAGTGGTCTCTCTCTGCTCTGCATGGTGTTCTTTCTGATTGTGGTGAGTACAGTTTGATTTCTCCTGAAAGTTAGATTTAGTCAATCGTTTCATTAAAGTTTTCAAATCACTGCTTATTTAGTTTTTGAATATTGTGAAAAATATACCACAGTCCAAAAATATATTTCTCTTTATGTTCCTGCAGGTGATCATAAAGAAGTTCCAGATCCCATGCCCTCTGCCTCTTCCTGACACTGGAAATGAAACCATGCATATGTTCAACATCACCCCCCACAGCGACAACGTCACTATAGATGATGACACTTGCAAGCCTAAATACTTTGTCTTTAACTCACAGGTAAATAAATCTCTTGCAGATTATACAGATATGAATATTTTCAATAATATTCAAAGAATAACTTATAATCTTTGTATTTTTCCATCTCTCCAGACTGCCTATGCTATACCCATCCTCACTTTTGCCTTCATGTGCCATCCTACTATCCTACCCATGTATGAGGAGCTCAAAGAGTAAGTGCTGCTGCATGGATTTAACTCAAACTTTCTATAATGCTTAAACTAAACCAATGTTATATTTCTTTAAAGTTTGGTCTGGTAAATAAAACTCTCCTTCCCTGAACAGCCGCTCACGCCGAAAGATGCAGAATGTGGCCAACGTTTCCTTCCTGGCCATGTTCATCATGTACCTGCTGGCCGCCCTCTTTGGATACCTCACCTTCAACAGTAAGTTGGGCAAGATTTAAAAACTACAGTGTAGCATATTTAGATGCACTTATTGTAAAACATAAATAAATAATATAATTATTAGCTTAAGGCTGGCTTTAACAACTTCAATGGGGCTGCAAGTAAAAATGTGCTTACTTTAGCTAACTTCCACACATTTATATTGTATAATGTTGACAAATTTAACCTGTCCTTTGACAAATAAATAAAACAAAAAATAAAATAAATGTTTTCTTTCAAATTATCCAGTCTTGTACAAAATTCTCACTTCATGGGTTCACAGGTCATTTACCTTAAATTTGAAATGTTTTAGTAATTGTGGTTTGCAGTGTAAAGAGGACTTCAATTAAAAATCCTAATGTGTTGATTCAACGCTGGTTACACAACAGTGTGAAAACACCACCTGATGCACCTGGTGCCAGCATGTTCCTGTTTGACTTCAAATATACAAAAAAAAACAAAACAAAACAAAAAAACAGCCCAGCTAGAAATGTTTTCTGGAACATTACAACAGTTACATAAGGACTTGTAAATCGTCCTTTGACATTATACACAACAGTCTAAGCAGGCAAGGGTGATAAAAGGAGATGTAAGAAAAACATAAATTGCATTGCTAATATATGACTGTATTCAGTTTTAGTCTGAATTATAATGACAAACCCTGAATGTAATTCAAAATCAACTTATTTTTGCAGCTAGTAGCACAGCTTTGCCATAGCTAGCTTAGCATTTAATCTCTAAAAAGCACAAACAATTAGCAGTTATGTTTGACATTAATTGTAATTTTGTTTGTATCATATCTGCTAATTTGTCAATTTGATCCTGAGCATTAAAGGTGTAGAGATGGAAAAGCAAAACATTGATGTTTTATTAGATGGTTGAAGTTTTAGAATTTAGAAATATCAAACCAATATTCAATCTTGTTTTTTATTTATTTTTATTTATTTTTTTAACTTTGTTGGTACTATTCAGAGAGCTGCAAGAAGGTAGTTTTATGCTCCTGTAGCTAAATGTTAGCATATACATGTTAACAGAGACTTGGATGTAAAGCTTCTCTTTAGCAGCCCAATTTTGGCTTCATTTAATTAATCTGCTAGCAATTTAAATTCAATTCTAAAAATTAAATATGGATTCTACATATAAAGCCCAAAAGACTTGTATGTTTATTGTTTTATTAATTTTTAAGTAACACTCCTTTGTAAGTGAAACATTTAGCCCACATTTATGTTTTATGTACTCAAAAACATTAACAGTAGCTTCAGCATATGTCAACGTTTGAGATAGTACAAGAAAATTAATTTAAAAAAATCCTGTTTATAATGTACAAAAGACAGTTTACGTCTTACTCCAAAGTGTTAGCATGGTAATGTTTGAAAATTAGATGATATGATTGTAGCCATATCATCTGAATTTAATTAGAGTGATCTCTGTCATATTTCTGTTCAGTCCATGTGGGACCTGAGCTGCTCCACACCTACTCAAACTACTACAAGTACGATATTCTCCTGCTGGTTGTTCGCCTGGCTGTGCTGGCCGCTGTCACACTCNGTGTTTACAGGTTTCTCCTGGTTTCCTTTGCTATTTTCTCCTTGTATTCTGTCCACTTGTTGCTGAAGACAGCCGATGAAGCAGGTGAGCAGCAGCTCTGACTTTCCAGCAACTTTTCATGTTTGTTCACATTTAAATGTCAAGATTTAAAACTCTTTGGGTTTTTTCCTCTTTTTCCAGGTGCTCTTGTTTACGAGTCACTGGGTTACAAGGCCTTTGGGATCCCAGGCAAACTGGCTGCTTCCTGCTCCATCACCATGCAGAACATTGGAGGTGAGGGACTGACCTTTAAGTATAACAGCTATGCATTGTAACTATGATGCTTACATTCATCTACCATGTTTTTAAACTGAAACATTGCTTCTCTGTGTCCAAATTGGGAGTACAAGCAGAATTAGATAGTTTTTGCGTTGTTGTTGTTGTTATTATTTCTTAGTGTTCTGTGACTTTTTGTTTCCCTCAAAATATCACAAATGACTCTTTTTTTCTAAATGTGTAAATTTATGCTAGGGATGTTTCTAACTTCTGTGTTTTTTTTATCATTTTATTTTGTTTTCTTCTTTTTTATCTTTTTTTCAGCCATGTCAAGCTACCTCTACATTATCAAATATGAACTCCCCATTGTCATTCAGTCCTTTACTGAAGCAAGTTATGGGTAAGTAGTTAAATATTTGGTCATTTTAACAACTAAACAAAGAAATAGCAGAAATGGTTCTTATTAATTGCATGGCTGCTGTTCACCATTTCCCACTTAATACCTCTATAGGTTTCGTTATTTTAGAGTTAAAATTTCTAGTACAAAATCAAATTAGTCTAGAATTTGACATTCTATAATTGTCCTGCTCAACGTGGCAGCATGTTGGAATTACTCTGTTAATTATATTCTGATTTTATTGTGGAAATTTTAAGTCTGTCTGATCTTTTCATCTAAAAAACTTTATTTCTGGCAGAAAATTTGTTATTTTTGACCAAACTTGAATCCAACTAAAGCACAAAAGTTGAAAAGAAAATGTTGTGGATGCAGAGCAGGAGCAAAGAGGAGAGAGAAGAACAATCGAACTCCTCCATCAATGATAATGAGCAATGCGAGTCCAATTTCATCCAATTGTCTAAAACACTGAATGAACTTGGACTCACCCAGAGTATTGGGAATGCAGTTCTATGGAAGCATTCAACTGTAGCGTTTATCTTCCAGGCTTTCTGACTCTACCAGCAGACACAGCTTTATAAAGGAACTGGATTAACTTTTCTTGTTAATAAAAGATGGCGTCATCCAGGACGTTACTGTGACGTGTCATCTAAGCAGAATAGATATTTCTGTTTGGTTACCACTTACATGACCAATCAAGTGGTATCTGCTTGGTCATGTAACAGTTAAAGTGATTCAGTACAGGACTATGGGGCTACATTGGTCATCTGTTTCAGTTATAATATTGGTAAATTCTGCCATAACAGCAATATATCAGATATCAACATCATCTCAAGTTTTCATATTAGTGGGTTCCAAATAATTAGTCTTCTGTAGCTTAGAAATACCTGGACAAAAATACACAAAAAAATTTGAAATTATATTTGATGTAATAATAATAATAATAATAATAATAATAATAATAATAAAAGCAACAGTCTCACAAAGAAAATAAATAAAAAAAAAGTGCAGCTTGGAGAGAATGCCAAATGACAAATGAACATGGACGGCTGTCTTATTCCATGC